TATTCTATAGGTATGTACTAATAAGTTGTAAAATGCTTAGCACATAGTGCTCATGATAATTTACATTATCATGAAAAAGATTTAACATCATTATGTCATTTAAAGTGAGTCTTCCCCCAATTTGCCTTAATGTCATAAAGAATTAGAAATATACAGGTCAATTCAGAGATAGGCAGGAATTAAATATCTACTAGTTAAGCAGAGAACTGAGACATTTTACATTAGGAATCAGCAGAGCAAAGTAGTTAACATCATGGGCCTTGAAACTAAGGAGTTAGGTTAAACTCTCTTTGCAACTTAGAGTTAAGCTACTTAACCTCTTTAAGCCCTAGAAACTTCATTTGTAAAATGAGAATAGTTATACTGCTTGAGAGCTTTTTCTGAGCAATGAAATTCTACAGTGCATTTAGTATTTAAATAAAAGGTAGACATTTTCTAGGTAGTAATGACAAAGATGAAACTATTCAAATTATTTTGGCAATTCTGTAAAAGTGGAAAAGCAATCTAATGAGACCCAATTCTCCTAAACTTTCTGTGAGGGTAAAGAACTATTTTAGAACTTTCCTGAGATTATATGTAATATATATATTCACCAAATAAATTTACTAAGGTATGTTTGTGGTATTCATTCAGCATTTTTAACCTATTACATGTTAGACACTGATGGGTCCCTGAGGTATAAAGATTAATGCCTTTGAATAGTTACTAGTAGATGAGCCAGATATTTAGTCAAATAAGTATAATGCGATGTGACTAAGGAGATAGTACAGACGTAGACAAGTGTTATAAGAACACAGATTTCACAGACAAGATATTTAACCTAAGCAGAAAAGACATTCTGCCAACAGGAATGGGAGGTTGAGATGTATAACACAGGAACACTTAATATATTTGGGAAAAAGCAGACGGAGCTAAAACAAAAAGTACGTTTTATGGAGTAAGTGGAAGATGACACTTGAAAGATAATCTGAAGTCATACTGTGCAGATATATATGTGCTATGTTTAGGGATTTGGACTTTTATTCCTTAGATCCTGGGAAGCCACTGAAATGCTTAATGGCCAAAACACAATGACAGGATCAGATTTCTACTTTTACAAGGTTAAATGACATTAGTACACAGGATGGACTGGTTAGGATGAAGAATAGAGGCAGTCAGTTAGAAAGTCATCACAATAATCAAAACTAGAGAGAATATGTACATAAAAAACACAATCATCAAATGCTTCACTATGATATTAAAATTTTCTCTTTCAATGCCTTGGGAGAATGCTCTTTGAATTCAGAATAACTGCTTCTCAAATTTTCTAAAATCATTTCTAAATAGAAAAAGTGCTTTGTTATTACTCACATACCATAAAAATTTATTAGATTTACCTTAAGATTAATTTATTGAAAAAATGAACATAAATTAGTTTCCTTTTGAAAATCAGATGTGAAAAAATCCATTGTACTATAACCTATTTTTTTAATAGAAATAGTCTTCATCTTCTCTTTTTAGAAAAGAACACTAGTCCTTCATGACTAGGAGTGGGGGGGGAACAATAATCAGCTAAGATTAAAACCCTATTGTAGTGAAAAGTTCAGAACCCTGACATAACTAGTCTAAGAGAATGCCAGTAGGGCTCATCAGAAAAGGGTGACTTGGAATAAAAGCATAAAGAATTGAATCCCTAACCCTCTCCACTCCCCACCCCAATCCTGCTGCTCGAACACCCTCAGTTAAGGAGTGACCAGTTCTTTGATCTCTTCCCTTTAAAAACAACTAAATTGCACTTGTTTTGACTCCATAATTAAATTTCTTCCTTGTAACAGGGATTTCATTTCTACATTGGTAACTGAGTTGGGTATTTATTAAGAAAACTGATCATGAAAAAGACAATTTCACATATCTTATATTTTATAATATTTTCCAAGATACCTAAATTTAAATAATTTCATGGATGTCCTGACTTCTTTCCATTAGTAAAATTTCTCTTTAGTAAGACAGGGTCTATGTACACAAGCAGAGTAAATTAGCTCCTGTCTCACAGCAGCTGAGAAAATGAATTGCCTAAGAAGATTAGAGTCATCTTCTTTACTTAAAGATATTCCTGACAACCCACACTGAAATTACACAAGATTAACTCCATTAACACCATTTCCCATTCTTTAAAGTAGTAGCTTTCCAGAAAGCAGCATTTAGACTGAATAGTTCAAAGCATATTTTAAGAGGAGATCTCAAAATGCTTAGAAATGCTAATATAAGTATCACTGAAGGATTCAGGATGAGGTGCTGAGAGGTCAAGTAACATATTACCGGCCATACAGTGAGCCATACGCAAAATGGAAAGATGCTGCTTGTTCTTCTCCGAGCCATTTAGCCTGCATATCCTTTTTGCAGATAACAAACATTTCAAATCAAATGTTATCTGAAAGGATATAACACTGTTAATCCCTCAAAGGCAGTGATATTATCTGATTCACTTTTTTCTTTCCCCATAGTATCTTCTAGAGTGCCTTTAATTGAGGGGTACTGAAATATTTGTTGATTATTATGTCAGACATCTGGCATTGCTTTGTGGCCTATCAAAAATAGGTAAAGCAGAAGGGCTCAAGAAAAATAGACTAAAACAATACCATAAGACTTTAAGCTATCTCTAAGAAAGAACCTCAAATCTGAAAGCAAAATCCATAGCACAGGCACTAAAACCTTAAACTATCTGTATTAACTGCCATTAGTGCCATTAAAGCATATAATACATAAATTTCCTTCTGACGATACACTGGCATGAGCCACCAGAATATTCTGAAAATAATGCCATCATAATCCACTAATTCCCTTACCTTACCTTCTCTGAGCCTTAAATATTCTCCAGGGTGTTTTTTATTTAATTTAA